ATTCCCATCACTCTGTTGTTGTGGGGCAGTGCTTTCTGCTGTCTGGCATTCATTCCCAAAACCTCCCCTCTCTCCTCTCTCTCTCACTCTCTCTCCTTCTTCTCTCTCCTTCTCTCCTCTCTCTCTCCCCTTCTCTCTATCTCTCTGTCCTCTCTCCCCCATCTCTCTCTCTCGTCTCTTTCTCCTTCTCCCTCTCTCTCTCCCCTCTATCTCCTTCTCTCCCTCTCTCTCTGTCTCTCTCTCTCTCTCTCTCTCCCCCCTCCCCTTCTCTCTCTCCCTCTCTCTTTGTCTCTCTCTCTCTCTGTCTCCCTCTCTCTCCCCTCCCTTTCATGCCAAGATGCCCCACCATACTTACCCTCTCTCAGGGAGCTTCACCCCGACATCTCCACCCCAGACACTGGAGGGGACTCCCCGACCTCCCTCCCCTCACAGTCAGGGGCGGCTACTTCTTCATGTTCGTTGTTGTTGCTGTTTATCTTCCCCTGGCCGTTGTCTCCCTCTGCTGTGTTGTTTTGAGCTGCGCACAGCTGTAAGGCTGGGACTGATCTCTTACCCCAACTTCTCTTCTTGTTTCCTCCTGCAGCGAACTCTGTGAAGTATCGGAAACCACGGCTGATGTACCCCACCGGGCACAGCAGCTCAAAGCTGGCTCTGAGGAGCAGGGCCCTCTACTTGGAATGTATTGCAGAGGGATTGTAAGTATCTGGCTGTTGGCAGATCCACCATAATCACCTCCTGGTTCTTTATCCTGCTCCCCCTCGATCGTCTCCCCCTCTGGTTCTTTATCCCGTTCCCTCTCGATCTGTTTCCCCGCTCTGGTTCTTTACCCCGTTCCCCTCGATCCGTATTCCCCTCTGGTTCTTTACCCCGTTCCCCCTAGATCCGTCTCCCCCTCTGGTTCTTTACCCCGATCCCCCTCGATCCGTCTCCCCCTCTGGTTCTTTACCCCGTTCCTCCTCGATCCGTCTCTCCCCCTCTGGTTCTTTACCCCGTTCCCCCTCGATCCCCCTCTGGTTTTCGGTGACTGCCACATCTCTGAGGGCCGTGTCGTGTCTGCTTTAGCCCGACTCCCACTGTACATTGGCAACGTTTGGATGGCGACCTCCCCCGGCACAGGATCAGCTATGAAAACTTCAACAAGACCCTGAAGATACGGGACGTAATTGAGGACGATGACGGGGAATATCGCTGTGTCGTCAGCAATGGTCAGGGCCGGGTCCAGCACACCTACCATGTATCTGTTGAGGGTAAGTCAGTGCCCTTCACTCTGTAACCATGTTACACAGGAACAGGAGGCCGTTCAGTTCCCCCCCTCCCCCTCGAGCCTGTTACACAGGAACAGGAGGCCGTTCAGTTCCCTTCCCTCCCCCTCGAGCCTGTTACACAGGAACAGGAGATCATTCTGTCCCCCCCTCCTCCTCCAGCCTGTTACACTGGAATAGGAGGCCATTCTG